ACCATAAAAAAGAAGTGCTTCACAGGCAAAGCATTATATGAATCTCAAAAGCCTTTAAAGAATGAGTACTTTTTTGCCAGGAAAAAAGGAAAAGATAGGTCACTTAAAACAGGAGAAAATACCATTGAACTTATGCAAATGTAGAGAACATAGATTATGTAAGGAACTCTTCTTAACCCATTGGGGTAAGAGTTCAGGATATGTGAAGGAGAGTAGCAGAAATGTCTGGAAAGTCAGACTGGAGATAAACTATGAAGAATCCTAAATACCATGCTGAGGGATTTGGTCATTAATCTCCAGGTAAAAGCAAAGCATCATAAGTTTTTAAACAAGAAGAACATGCAAAATACTCTTGAGAGCCAAGACTCATTTAGAAGGAATTTTTGTGAGGAATATGTCTTTCTTCTTTCTTTCTTTCTTTTTTTTTTTTTTTACAGTTTTTGGCGGGGAGCAGGTTTGAACCCGCCACTCCCAGCATATGGGGCCACACCCTACTCCTTATGCCACAGGCGCCACCCTGGAATATGTCTTAATATTTGATTTTTCTCCTTGTGGGCACCAGAACCTGTAATAATCAGGTAGAAATCTCCCTTTCCACTACTTAACATACCAGAAGGAGCTTTGTAAAAAACAGATAGCTTCATTGACAGTGACTCAAAGCATTTTTTAAAACAGTACTTCTCAAACGTGGATACTCAGTGGAATCATCAGAGCTTTAAACATTGCCACTGGCTGGGTCTCACCTGTGGAGGTTCAACTTCAACTGGTCTAGGGCTCAGTCTGGGCATTGGCAGATATCAAAGCTTGCCAGGTGATTATAATAACTATACATTCAACTTCGAGAATGACTACACTAAACCAACAACATCTTGTTTCTGCAATTCTAGAAATTCTTTTCCCAAATTTTAACTCTTCTGAAATTTAGATGCCTCTTACAACCTGTGTGTATGTCTAATTAGAGGCCCGTTTTCTTCCTCATTCCCAAAATACTCGTACTACGTTTATGATACATCTTATAATCAGGGGTGTCTTAGAAAGAAGGAGTCTTTATTTTATATAAAATAAAATATACTTAAGAACAGTGAACTCTAAAAGAATGTATAGCAGCTGGTGAGAACGCTGACCTAGTGTGGCTGATTTGTTTTCTGTTTCTTTGTTATTCAAGGCCCCATCCTCTTCTCATGGTGAACTAGCCTCTGAGCTATTTTGCCTTAGAATATCTGCCTCTACGATTAGGCCACTTGTTCTTACATTGCTCGGTATGCAATCGCTAATCTTTGAGTCTTTACTCAATTCCTCCTTCCACCCCCGTAAGGTTTTTTATTTCTTCCATTATGTTCTAAAAATGCTGGTTCTGGGGTTACAAACTTTCAGCTCTAACCTTAAGACACTTTGTTTCCCTGGTTGTCATTTCCTTTGCGGTTTCATTCTGGTGGCAATGATAGGTGTAAAATCTTTACGGCAAAAGATATGCTTTCCAATTTGGAGACATTGCCAAAACCGATGTCCCATTCTTGGGCTACTTCTATTCTCTCTCTCCCCCTCCTCCCCCTTCTGTACCCACCTTCACTTTCTCCTTCCATCTCTTTCTCTCTCTCTCATTCCTCACTGCCCTCTGCACGCACCAACCAAAAACCCACCCAAATCTCAGGAATAACTCAGAGGTTTACTGTGGGAGATGAAATGAAGGAGAAACTGAAGGTGCACTTTTTTCAAAGTGAGAACTCTACGAATCATAAGAACCCTAGGAATGTGTAATGCCACCGGGAAAACAGGGAAAGAGGTCAGAGAAATATTCAGAGATGCTGAAATATTAGGGTTAGTGATTGCATGAATTTGTAGTTATTTTTATGTATTTGTTTGTTTCTTGGTTTATTTTCACTGTCACCCCCACTGTAACAAAAGCTTCATGGACCCATGCTCACTATTACATCCCTGCTGTGTACCTCAGTGTCTTGCGCACAGTAGGCATTTTTATTTTCCAAATAACTGACTTATTCACTTAGTGAAGGGGAATAAATTGTCAGGTGTAAATTTTTTATCGTGACCCTAAATTCTTATCCGTATATAAGTGACAAACATTAATAATCAATGATTAACTGAGCGATCTTGCAGAAAAAGTTACTTTCAAAAAAGTTCTAGATATTTTAGTTTGTGGCAACGTTGATATTAGTCAATAACATGACATAGCTGCAGAAATGACATTAGGTTATACTTCTAGAACTCCCTGTTTATTTCCAAGGAGACAGTGATTTCATTGTTCTGCAGTGACGTTTACTACCTGATATGAAACCCTTAATCTAAGAGCAGCACCAGCAAATGAGTGTATTCCAAAGTTGGCAACCAAAACAGAGGCCATTTAGCTCAATTGCTTCGAAAGGGATAAACAAAGACAAAAGGATAATACTGAGGGTCTGTAGCAGGGTTGAAAGAGACTAGACAGTAGGTCTCTAAGTCCATGCCCTTGGGCAAGTCAGTTCTCCTTTGGCACCACTTACTTATTCTATAAAGAAAGGGGTAAGTTTCTATTTTCTCCAAGCTTTCTAAGGATTCTTCTGAATACAATCTATAACCACGTATAAGAATTTAAAATTTTCACTATTATATTTGAACATGAGAATTGATCCTCAAATAGTAAAGAGCTGTGTACACATAAGGCAATACATTAGTTTTGTTTTTACAAGTGAGAATTAGTTATAACAGGTAGGATTTATAAAAAAGAGATTATAGATCATTCTTTGGAGTAATTTTTTTTTAACCATTACAGTAGAGCAATGAGAAAAAGACTTATTATACAAAGCAGTGATGTTTTCATCACTGTCAAGGATAGCGTGTAGGGAAAGCGTTTGTCAGCTTAGAGGCTGAACTTCATAGTACCTTCCAGTTCTAGGATTTTCAGCTTCTCTCTTAGTTTATTCCAAGCCATGTCCTCATACAAGCTTCTAGGCCAGTGTTTTGAATTGAATAAATGACTGTCTGTTATCCTGACATGCGGGGGGTTGGGGGGAGAAGCATGTAGCATCCAAACTTCTTCTCTTTGATTCGCTGTATCACGTTCAGCAGGTCCAAGGTCAGTTGCCGCCATTAATGATTCCCGTATTCCCTCCTGATCAACGGACGCTGGCTGCGGCTGCCCAGCAGGGATTCCTCCTTCCTCCAGGCTTCAGCTATAAGGCTGGATGTAGTAAGTACCACTGATTTTTCATCTGGGAGTGGGTGGAGGGCACAGCGTTAAATCAGGCAGTTTAATATTACTGCCACACCAAGAAATGAGATCACCCATCTAGCATTTTTATTTCAAAGAGGAAACACGAAGAAGATGTGGAAAAGTGTTCGTGTTGGTGTTTAAAAGGCCTTAGATTATTTCTATGCTTCTGAAGCCAGTATTTGCTCTTTATAATTCAGTTTCATAACATCTATTTCCAGTATATTCTTAAAATATGAATGTAATTTGGGGGTTCATTTTATGCTTTGTGTAGATGACATAGGAATATCCTCTTAACTAGCTTTCCATGGCCCGATAGGATAAATCCAAATTTCCTAATGCAAAGAGGTTGGCCGTCTGCTACTGGTCTCCACCCTAAATTTATAGCCTAATTTCTTGCTAGTCTTTTTAGTTCTTAGACTAAAAAATTCTCTTTTATCACTGCGGCCTTGTATCTCAGAGTTCCCTCTCCTTGGGATTGTGAATCTCTTCCACGTCCATTCAAGGAGCCCTGGCTTGGCCCAGGTCAGGTTCTTTTCTCCTGCTTCCTGTGGATCCTGAATGTTTTCTTGTTCACTTTAATTGGAAGCTTTGTGAGAGCAGTTGCGGTTCTATTTTATCATTACTGTAGCTGAACTTTTAGTATATCATTCAACATTTTTGAATGAACAAACACTCATTACAAGCAATACAGAGGACATGTTTTGCACTAAGTGGTAAGTTACACCAAGATAAGTGTTTATGTTGTTTTACTAGTTTTAGGCACCTGTGATTTTATGCCTTTTTTTCTCTCTCTCTCTTTTTTTATTTTTTGAAGTTTTTGGCTGGGGTTGGGTTTGAACCCGCCACCTCCAGCATATGAGGCTGGCACCCTACTCCTTTGAGGCACAGGCACCACCCAACAAA